ACAATCCCGAGGTGGCGACGGACCTGTACAATTGGGCGTGGTTATTGGAGATGCAGGTAGGGGGTCGTCCATATATTTAGGAAAAAATGCTAGAATCGACACTTAAACATCGTTTGGGTATACGCTTCTCTTATTGGCGGCCGAACACGTCACACCGACTTGTTTTTCTGTTGCTCAGCACAAGTGTGCCGAGGCCGAGCCACTCTACGAGAGGTCGCACGAGTGATATTGCTTGGTCCGGACCATCCAGTTGTGGCGTCATCACTCAACAGTCGGGCGGGGTTGCTCAAGAAACAGGTGAGGGTTGAAACGTTTTCCGATAAGTGCCGAAGGGTCCAAGCCTGTTAGCTTTTGTTTGCTGCAAGTCAGCTCGTCCTACTAGTCATCATTTTCGGCCAGGATCATTCCAACAACATCATTTTTCTCAAGAATCATCACGGGGGAGATTGTTGGAATATTCGTCCGCGTGCACTTAGTCTTGAAAACACTAAAATTGCGACTTTTGGGCACCTTCCAGGATTTGCTGAGGGAGGTCGGAACACGGTTGTAAAAGGCCCGCCGAGACTCAGTTGGACCAGTGCCAATGTGTGCCGATGGTTGAAGGTACTGGGCAAAGATCGGAATGAACTGTGTTTTTGCAAAGACGGCAACAACAATGTCAACAATATCCATGGCTACCCTCCACCACACTCGTTTCACGCCGTATTGTGTTGCTCAAGGGACAATATTCCGAGGCCGAGCCCCTGTACACAAGAGCTATCGAGGTTTTGACAATGGAGTTTCACCCTGACCATCCCGAAGTCGCCACCGCGCTCAACAATACGGCGGATTTTGTGAAGAAGGTGCGGGTCGAAGAATGTCCTACAAAGTGTGAACCCTCACCTTCATTGGGTGATGCAGTTCGGTATTTTGATTAATCAATCTGAAGGATGCGCTTGGCGTTTGTCAACTGCTCTACCTTGTCCATGGGCCACCTCGACGGTGATCTTCTCTACATGCCCGTTTTGCTCATGTTCAATTTGCTGTGTCCGCGCGTCTATTGTAGCCTTGAACACAAGTTGCAACTGACGGTATTGTTAAGACAGGGGGACCTAATCACTCGTTTTCGAGAATGTGGAAATATGCACCTGCTGGTGTATTTGGCCATCGTTCGACAGATTGACGGACTCCAAGTCAAGTGACGAAACCATACCCAGCACCTGAGAGACGGCTTGTGCTGACCAGCACACTAGGTGTGAGGAGGAGATCGGTCCCAACAAGGCATCTGTACCTGTCAGTCGACGTGTCCGTGGGTCGTGGGGAATATCGAATAGGGTGACATGATTTCAGAGTATGTGAAGAGTGGACGATAGGTGCTCGACCGACCCAGGAATCAATGAAATAGGGTTCGAAACGCAACCGGTCGGGAGTTGGGCGGGAGGAATGGTTGCATTCTTCTCTCGCCACTTTTTTGCGTTTGGTCAACCGACTTGGCGCCGCTGCCGCTTTCTCCGCCGCTGCTGCTATTGAAAGACAAAGGCACGCACAGTTGCTCGGCGCATGATTGCTTCGTGTATAAATTTTTGAGTCGTTTTTTTTCGCGTTTCTTTCCTGCTCAGGTGGTCCTTTTGAAATGTTGTGGTGTGCGATAAGGAAACGTTCCTGCCGTGAGTCTGGTTTTCCTACAGCCATTTGCCGGACCATGCACGAACATTTGCATCCCGCTCGTCTCGCAGAAGAACTACAAGGTTGCCCGAGAGGACAACGTTGTAGCGGTGGCATTGGCCTATCGCAGTGGACCATCCGTGTAGCGGCAACGTAAATCAAATAAGTGGGTGTAAAGTGTGCGGTCGGTCGTGGTCTTTCGTTCTTGTGTCCTTTCGAAAGTACCGCCTGGAGCCCATGCGGACGCCAGATGCCAGATCACGCCCACCAACGCGTTGTATGGTTTAGATCCCCCCATAACAACGCGACATCCTAGGTTTGGCACCGACTAGGGAGTTCGCGCAAGAGAGTTTCACACAACCCCCCAGACTTCGATGCGAGTTTTCACCTCAGACATGAAAACGGCGTATTCTGCCGCCCGGTTCCCATGCGGTGTTAGAGCAAGTCCATACGAATAAGATCAAGACACCGCTGTCAGGTCGAGCAATTTTCGATTATTTTACTATTTCGTCGAAACGAGACGGCGCAGGATATCGACGGGCCAAGTCAAAATTTGATTGGTTCTGGTCGTTGGGGACGACTGCAGCTCGTCCACCTCAAAAAACTTGCGTTTCCAAATCCAGCAGTGGTCGGTGTGGTCACCGACAGTAATTGCCGCGGTGTATCTAGAGGCGCTGTTGGGGGGAGGTCTCAGAATAGCGAGTTGATGTACGCTAGGATATTGTGCCAAGGAACCCCAATATCGCGATATATCGGTAACCGCGATTATACGGTGGTGACCACCGACTTGGTTGCTTAGCAACATTTGTAACACACATGAAGCGCAGGCACACGCTTGTAGGATGGTCTTCCATAGACCATGTCCGGAGACGAGACGTAGTCAGTACGACAGAATGCCTCTGTCGAATCACCTGGGCTTTGTGCCAACTTTGCTTGTCGAGGCAACCTCGAAAACACAAGATAGATATCTGTTGTCGGAACACCCCATGAGTCAGCGAAGACCAATGGCACCTCAACCTTGCAAGTCGGTAATTCCTTCGTTGGCGATCCCAAACTCGGCCGAATTTCCACATGCCTGCGAAAGAACCAGGGAGACAGACGGCGGGGCCTGGCGTACATCGACGGTGTTCGATGCCTCAGTACAAAGCAAGGAGAGTGAAATCCCTCGAAGCTCCGTGCGTGATCGCATGTATATACAATCAGTTTTTCTCCGGATCACATACACCTAGAGTAATTGCACGGGGGCGCGTAAAACAAAAGCCAAGAACGCTATGGTTTACTTCGATTTCTGCACCTTTGTCGGCGTCGTCGCGCCGGGGTGTGACGAAGTCGGAATTAAATCCCCCTTCGGAGCACCAAATTTCGCGCTACACTAGAACTGGTTGGCTCCGGTGATCTGTAGCGGTTGTTACATGCAGAAAGGTACTTTTCCAGGCGGTGACCGTAGTATCGCCAGGGTGTCATCCTTCTGTATACCATTGCACGGGAGGGACTACAAATACGAAGGCGCGACCCTGCTTTGCGCCCACGTTCTTGAATCCGACATATTTTGTATGCAGAAAAATCGCAAACACACATGTACGTCTCCTCGTTGCTTTATCATCCCTTCCGCCGTGATTCGTGTTTGTGTACCTTCGTGATTGTGTGCACAACAAGTGTAATGTCGTAGAAGGCACAAATAATTACCGTTGGAAACCCAGTCACGTGAGGATGAATGTCAAAGAATGGGTTTCCAGGCCTTGTCGTTCCTTGCCTGTGCCGGGTGCTTGAGCAGTGTCGCCGTTCTGGGTGTCGCCTCGCCAACAGTTCCATGGTCAGCCCCGCCGGCATCGCCACTGCCGCTGGCGCGTCCGGCTGGGGCAGAGTATTCCGCGAGCAGCACTCGTATCGATGGCACGCCTTCCCAAGTCAAGCCCAATGCCGCGCGAGGGCCTACGGGACGCACGCACGCGGCGAGGGCAGCGGTAGGTTGGAGTCTGGGGTGTGAGAACGGTTCGAAAAGCGTCGAGGACGTCGCTCCTCGTCTCGGGATTGTGGAGCACATCTGGCTCCTTAACACGACCATTCCTTGTACCGATGACGACACTGTCTAGCTTGGCTGCATGCCGCTTCGGCTCTATAGTGCGCAAAACAGATAACAACGCCTCCCACCTTCGTCCTCGCTGATTCCTCTCTGTGCCACGGTGCTGTTGGCCACCTGGGCAAAATGCACAGTTCCCGGAGAGCGAGGAAGCGGCCCACAGAACCGCAAACAAAGGTTTAATACGTGGCGTTCAACAGTGCTTGCCGTATGAGCCTCCTGTTCCTGTTCGAAGGGTGGTTCCACAAGATGATCACAAATAATCTACTTTGGTGCTTCTCCAAGCTTGATAGCTGCCAACCGGATGCCCAAACTGAGCAGAACAGAAGGCGGCGAAAATACACCATCCATGACATTGGTCCGCGAGAGCCGGTTGCGATTCTCAGCGCAGGCATCTACCCCATCCTGCTTCTATTGTACACATGGTACTGTGGAGCCGACGTCGAGCAAGAAAAACAGCCCAGAACGATAAACGCACTCAAAATTCATGACCTCGAGGATCGGTGCTGTCGAGCAGCGCTCTCGCTTAGCTTAGACGACGGGAAATGTCCCTCATGGAGTCCTGTGCCGTTGGAAGGCGCTACGGCACCAGCAAAGGTAAACATGACCAGGCGCCCTGTGCCGGGCTGCCCCTGGGCCAATACCCCCACGGAACAGAAGCCTCCCATTAACGTCCAGATCTTGGTCTTCGTCTGGCTTCGCGTGTGGTCAAGAAGATTGTGTGGGCACTGGCCGCTGCAGGAACGAGCATTTATATTGCCCTTGGTGAACTCTGAACGGCAGTAGCAGCTCAAACGGATGCCCGGATTGAAGGGCGTCCAGCGCACAAGCTTGGTACGGCGTGCACTCCTCAAGGAAACGACCCACAAATAGAACACGTTGTGTTCAGTCGTGTTCAGGGCGGAACCAAGGCTATTTTATTCGTCAGTCGGATACCGCGGGCGACATACACAAGCACGCACTCGCCACGTACCTTTTCACGCCGCTTCCCAAAAAAATTAAGCGTCGCTTTCGCAAAAAACAACCGGACCGGAAACAAACAGAAAACAACGCAGCGTCTATTTCTTCCAGGTTGGGCAGACATTGGGACACCTCACCTAGCTGCCGACGGTCTATTGCAAGGATGTGTCTGAGGCGCTTACCGAGAGGGGCCGACTCCTGCCTTCCCAACCGCAAACCAAACAACGCAACCACAAAAAAATAAAGTGCTATCGCGGTTGGTGGTCGATAGGTTTCTTGAGTTGAACGTGTCCCGAAGCCCAGTTGAGCATGTGGTCTACAGCGGTTCGGACGAACACAAAAAAAAACAACCCACCAGGACGCACGCGCTGCATTGCGAGGCCGCACGGTTCAGTAAGTGTCCCAATGAAGCCATCAGTCCGTGCCCTGTTTGCGATGTGCGCGTCCATAGATGGGTGGGGAGGAGAGGGGTAGGGTCGTGGTGACATGGAGGCTGAACAATCAATCCGACCGAGCGTTCGGAGGAGGGGAGGGGGGGGGCATATTTCGAAGTCGCGCGACTGCGATGATACAAAATAGATGCCCAAAACAACATCAACGAAGCTGTAAATAATAACGACAACGACAGCAACAACGGTAGCAGCAAATTTGCTGGCAGCAATGGGTTGGTTGGGCAGCCACCAGATCTTTGTATAAAATGATGTCCTCGCTTGGGAGGCATTGTGTGTGACACCCAAGGCCGGCGAGACACATAGACAGGCGAACACAAACAAAGGTAAGGCCACGGGCGAGATCCTGGTGAAGAGTTCGGACACATCCTGGACATGCACGTGCGTTGTCGGCGTACATGTTTCATCTGCCGCTGGGCGAGGTGAAAGGGAAGAGATGGCGGCAGTAACACTAGGACGGTGTTGGCACCGTGACGTAAGTTGAAATAGGATGTTCCGTCGTGCATTTTCCGCCGTTGATTCATGGGCGCGGGTGGCACTCAAACCACAATAAGCTTGACGATCGTCTTGTTGGGCGTTCAGTATCCCGACTCTCACAAGGCATCGCTTCTTCTTCCAGAGGAAAACAATAACATCAAAAAAGAACCAGCCCAAGCCGAAAGCTACATGCAATAGAAGGTCTGCACGCCGACGACTGACGGTCCGTCCGTCCCGTATCTGGCCAAAGCCGAACAAGAACGAAAGCGGACACGAGGTTAGCAAGCCATCAACTGCCCTGGTCTCCATGCCATGATTGATCACATGAGATGCACATCTCACCGGCAGGGTTCTTGAAGCCACCGAGAAGCGGCGATATAACCGCCGTTACCGAGTCTAGAATGATCAATCGGCAGTCGCTGTACACCCCGTTCCTGCCCTATGGGGGGCAGGAAGAGAAACATGCGAACGAAGAGGCGACGACGATGGACGGGCGGGGAAATGTTGAGGTGAAAGGGGGGTCTTCATTCCGTAATGCGCCGAGCGCAAATCCTAGGAAACCCGCATTCAAAAGAAGAACATCACCGCCTGAAGCACATGCCTAGTGGTACAAGCCACGGTCCGGGCGTATCAAGGTTGCCGTCGCTTGCAGTGGCCACGTGCTCCCAAAAACGTTTCACTACAGCAGCCCCCAGGTATTCACTTTTTAGTTCAAGCTCGGGAATCTACAACACCTTCGGTCTGTTCCTAGTGGTGGATGATACGCGCTGTAGATGGAAGTGCACAGCCATTGATGCGCGTAGCGATAACATCAAACGAGTGGCACAGCAGCCTGGCACGAGGCCTGCCGCTGTCGTACGTGATAGCAGCGGTTTGCCAACCAACCCTGTGTAGCATACGCGCGCCTCCTCGCCGGCGACGGGGGTAAGACAACGGTTGCCCACGGGGCCCGCTGAAGGGCAATCGACCGGCCCGTGCGGTGATGGTCGTGACACCGAGAGACATACACGGGGCTCGAGAGGCCACCTCACGATTGCCCGCTGTCGAGCGTGCTCACCCCTTCCATGACGCCGTCGATGTAGGCCACCAGCGCGGACATGACTCGAGAGACGTCGAAGGCGCGGACCACTCGGAGCCGGTCCAGTAGAGCGTCCACTTGTCGCGCCGCCATTTCCTGTCGTCGGGTGTTGTGTGGGGTAGGAGAAATGCCCCAACACAAACGATGCAACAGTGAACGTGGAGACATAGGGCGCGCGCGAGAAAGAGAGAGAGAGAGGGAGAAAAGGACACACCGAGACAAAAAGCGGAAGAGGCGGAGAAACACGTCAGCCGCACAGCACAGCGAAGGGCAGAATGAACGTGTCGACTCTAAACACGGCAGCAACGCCATGTACGGGCACCGTCACACAAGGAACGCATTCTCTACTTGGAAATCGAAACGAGTAGCCCGTCTCAGCTAAATACATCATTGAAAAAGAACACAAGTTTCCTCGCAACACACAGTGCACCCCCTGCTCCGGAGACGAACAAAAACTGGACTACGCTATCTGCGAATTGGGACGTCTTTATGTAAGTCGACCCAGACGCAGGGTTGTGAGAATTTACTCGCATATAATAGACAACATTATGCGCATTCTGTGTGTGGAGATACTTCCTCTAGCATCCGGAAACGAAGAACGGGACTTCACCAAGCACATGTGGGCTGTTCGCGACTTCAAGACTCAAGTGCAGAACTTTCGCCAGCATTGATCGATCAACCGGGCGTATCTCCGAAGACGGACGATCCCTTTGGCACCTCACCCCGTTGGCGTCTGCGTAGCGGGAACGGGCGATCTGCTGCATCCGTCGCACGCTGCAGCCGTTCGCGGTGTCGATGTAGAGTACCCCGATCCCGTGGGACGCCGCCGCCACCGCTGCCGTCAAGCAGAGCTGCGCGGCAATTGTTCGGTTTGTCGTGGTGTTGTCCATACGTCGGGCGGGTGCCCGTTAAGCGAAAGGACTTGTCGTAGCTTTCGATGAAGTTGAGAGAGGGACGTGTTGGAATGCTGCTGGTCGGGGATGACGCAGAACTTATGTATTGCAATGTTTTACGTTGACACAGCACATGTAAGCAAGAACGGAAAAGAGGAGATGCACGAGAGGGATGGCAACGCGGATCTGATCGAGGAAGCAAGAAACAGCAACAGCACTACAACAGCAACAGTTGGTCCTCGCCTGCGTCTTGCCCGAAGATGACCGCCCAACGACCTCGACAACGTGATGAAGCATCAACCCCTTGCAGAGAAGATTGTCGAGGCTAATCGAAACGAAAACGTGTGTGCAGACGAACCAAAACAGTTGGCTCAGGCACCTGAAGCGAAAGACAACGTAGTCAATTTGCCAGCAATAATGCATACCCAATCAATACGAACCACACACGGCAGAAATAAATATCACAGCTTTTCGAAGACAAAAGTCTAAGGAATAAACGCTCGTATTCGAAGCATGGCACCATCAACCTAGACACAACACGGCAGTGATCAAAGTTGAATCTAGTCACACACCCCGATTCGTGCTTGAAGGCGGGAGAGACCTTGGAACGGATTCCCCCGGGAATGTCAAACAGTTTGCAAGGCGAAAAAGACGGGACGAACGGGGGCGAGCACGCATCCGTTTCGCTCAGAACACAACCGTTAGCACCTTCCTCGAACTACACCGGGTATCGGATTGCACTGCAATTGTAATCTCGGATCATGCCAAGATATGTGGTTCAAACTGGGCAGATTCCCGAACATCAACACCCAACGTTCGTCCCGCCTGAGCCCGTCGACGTCCACACCTGTCCGACCCCGTCGTCACGAACCCACCCACGTCCCTCGCCTGCCGGTAGAGGGCATCGGCAGACGCGAACGACAACAGGGGAGGGTTATCCAGCGTGCCCCCCCCTCCCCCTCCGCCAACAACACCTCCTGTTCGTCTTGGAGAGCTTGTCGCCCTTGCTGTAACTGTTGCTGGCCGCGGTGGTGGCGGGCGTGTGGCGGTGCTGCCACCCGCCCCCTGCTCGCCCTCTCCGCCGTGCCTCTGTGTGTTTGGAGTCGCTCCATCGCCGTTGTCTTCCGGAGCTCTCCTGTCGGGAACCGGAGACTGAGGCTGAACCGAAAATGTAGGGTTCGGGCCAAGGGGTGGGGGCGAGCGCGCGCGGGGGGGGGGGGGGGG